CGGAGCCTCTGGATTAAAAGAGGCTTGCCAGGCTCCTCTCAGGTAGACCTAAAGCTTCCTCAATTTGCACAGTTTCCCTTTCTGGTAGCAAAGCTCCCCTCCTCAGCAGGACTGCTCCTTCCTCCAGGCAGTGGCAGTAGTGCTGGTGCTCTCCAGATCAAAAGAAGGTCACAAGCGAGGTCAGAGCAGGTTTCAGCAGCTCGGCCCAGCTCCCTCCTTCCGGCCAGCAGCTGTGGTGTGCTCCTTGGCCAGAGGAGTCTGCGGGCGGACCTGAGTCCCCTCCGCTGGGCTGGGCGCTCACCTTCCGGTCCGCAGTGGTGGTAGTATGGGCCCCGGGCGGGAGAGGCGGCAGCAGGGCTGGCCTCCGCCCAGCATCATTTATTAAAGAGGCTTCCTCTCTTCTAGTAAATGTATTTGGCACTTTGTCAAAGATAAGGTGGCGGGCTAGGGATTTAGCTCAGCGGCATAAGCACCTGGCTTGCAAGCAAGTGGTCATGAGTTCAATCTCCGGTACCGATAAAAAGAAAAAAGAAAAAAAAAGTGTAAAAAAAAAAAAGATAAGGTGGCTTAGTGTGTCTGCAGTTGTTTCTGCATCTTCTAATATGTTCTATTGATCTTTGGGTCTGTCTTTTTTTCATTAGTACCACACTTTTCTTTATCATAGTAGCTTTATGGTATAATTTCAGGTCAGGAATTGTGATGCCCCCTGTCTTGTCTTTGTGGCCTAGGATTGTCTTTGCTATTCCAGGTCTCCTCTGGTTCCAGCTGAATTTTAGGATTGATTTCTCTACTTCTGTGAGACATGCTATGGGAATTTTGATGGGGATTGAACAGAACCTGTGTAAGAGTTTTGGAAGTATGGCCATTTTCACTATATTGGTTCTTCCCAAGCGCATAGGATATCTCTCCATTTTCTTATATCCTCCTCAATCTCCTTCTTCAGAGTACAGTAGTTTTCCAATGTAGAATTCTTTTACCTCCTTTGTTAGATTGATTCCTAGGTATTTCTCTCTTTTTTGGATGTTACTGTAAAAGATATTGTTTCCTTGTTTTCTCTCTCAGTGAATTTGTTATTCGTGTTTAGAAAGGCTATTGATTTTTGAGAGTTGACTTTGTAACCAGCTATGTTACCCAATTTGCTTTTCAAATCTAGAATTCTTGAGGCTGGGGATTTAGCTCAGCAGCATAAGCACCTACCTTGCAAGTGTGTGGGTGTAAGTTCGATCCCTGGTACCAATAAAAAAGAAAAAGACAAAAATAAATAAATAAAAATCTAGAAATCTTTTGGTAGAGTTTTTGGGGTCTAAGTAGAGTATCATGTTATCTGCAAATAAAGACAGTTTAACTTCTTCCTTTCCTATCTTTATTCCTTTTACTTCTTTCTCTTGTCTAATTACTTCAGCTAAAGTTTCCAAGACTGTGTTGAATAAGAGTGAAGACAGTGGACATTCTTGTCTTATTCCTGATATTGGAAAGAAAGCTTTCATTTTTGTCCATTTAGTATGATGTTGGCTGTTGTTTTCTCATAGATGGCCTTTATCAGATGGAGACTATGTTTTTCAATTTAATAGAACTCTTTCTGCATCTATCACAGCGTACTAAATTCAAAATGCTCAACACCTAAATATTAAAAGAGAAACACTAAATCTACTGGAAGACAAAACAGAAATTTTGAACACATATGTGTAGACAGAGACTTCATGAGCAAAGATTCAGACCACGTGGTAAATACTACAGAGAATCAACAAATGGGATCTCACCTTAACAAAAGTTTCTGCATAACAAAGAAATCACAGAGTGAAAAGAAAACCCGCAGAATGCGAAAAAATTTTTATCAGCTGTGCCTCAGACAAAAGACTTCCTTTTAGAACATATAAAGAATTCAAAAAAATCAGACCCCCAAATTCAGTCTGAAAAAGAATTCAAAAAAATCAGACCCCCCAGATCCAGTCTGGAAATGGGCATCTGAGATGAGTACACACTTCCCAGACGAAGGCATAAAAATGGCAAACAAACACAAGAAAAAATGTTCAACCTCACTGCTCATTAGAGAAATGCAATTAAAACAACATTGAGAGCCCACTTCACCCCAGAAAGAATGGCCAGGATCAAATGGTCAAGCAATAACAAATGCTCCAGTGGCTGTGGGGAAAAGGAACCCTTCTCCGCTGCTGGAGAGAATGCAGACTGGTGCAACCACTGTGGAAATCAGTGTGGAGTCCTCAAAAACCTAGGATTGGAGGTCCCATTTAACCCGGCTATCTCCTTTCTGGGTATCTTTCCAAAGGAATTAAAAACATCATACTACAGTGTTACATATGCACCCATGTTTACAGCAGCACAGTTGACATTAGACAAATCTTGGAAACTACCTAAATGCTCATCAGGTAAGGAATGGATTAAACAAATGTGGTATTTTATACAATGGAGTATTACTCAGCCATAAAGAAGGATAAACTGGACACTTACAGATAAATAGATGCATCTTGAGAACATACTCTGTAGGGAAATAAGTAAGACATGTATGTGTAAACATCATATTGGTTCATTAGTGTGAAAGCAGAAAGAAAAAAACATGTATGTGTACATATAATATATAAAAACAGTTAAGATAGTTGTACTACTGACTTCTCTGAGTTCACTAAGAGAAAGATTTGTACTGGTATTCAGACAATTGAGGGCAGATGACTTGTGCTCTGGGTAAATAATTTTGGGATGACATTGCGCAGTATATGTACCATGGTTGCTCCTAACTGATGTGCTTTCAAATTTTATTGCAGTTTTTCTATTTTTCTTCCTCTGTATATTTGAATAAAATGGATTTGAAAGAACAATGGTCCTAATCTTGAATACTAAGAATTTTTTGCCCTTACAGTGTAGATTCCAGGTGAAAATTCATTTACTGGACACCAGGCAGGATTAAACTGCCCCCTCTCCCTCTCACAGGAGCCTGTGCCCCAGGCTGCCTGGATCCTGTGGCAGTTGCCTGGACAACGTTTCCTCCCCATTCTGCCTTCAGCTTGTGAGCAGCTCCAGGGCAGGACAGTAGCTCCCACTCCCCTCAGAATCCCCACAGTGCTGACCAGCAGCTTACCACATCCCCTGAGGTGGGCGGTGGTGAAGTAGTGGCGGCCCTCACACAGGCCAGGCTGGCCCAGAAGTGGAGGATGTTCTCTCTCATGGGCACCTGGCTAGTGGCCATGTCCAGCTGCCAGTAGACCATTCCCACTTGCAAGAAGGAAACAGCAGCAGAGCCAGGACAGGCTGCATAGTAAAAAAGCCCTTTCTTCCAGGCAGCAGCCCTGCTGAAGGCCCTTCCAGGATCTAGCGTCCATGCCAAGCAACCTCTCATGCTGCCAGCATAGGGTTAACTAAGGGTGACACACTTGCCATTAGGATGGTTTCTAAACTACACTGCAAATGGAATTAATATCTGAAATCCTGACACCTGCCAAGAAGAGGCAAATCTTGGCTAGGGTGGGCACAGCACCTGGGTGCCAGGCAAGCTGTCGCCATGAAAATCCTCCTCCCTGCTCTCAGGCTGGGGATCATTACACTCCAGAGCCCAATTCCAAAGCAGAGGGCAGAGACCAGAAGGCTGTGGAATTGCCTCAGGGTCACGGCATTTGCCCACCACACCCACACTGAGTCTTCCCTGGACACAGGCCCTGCTGGAGGGCAGCAGCACACAGAGTCCTCAAGGACATACAGGGCACCAGGCTATCCCTCGTACCAAACCTGGTGACCCCAGTCTCTGTGAGCTATCACTAAGTCCATTTGGGCACAAGTGTAATGTGTGAACACATTTAAAAATAGCACAAATAGCAAGCATGCAGGTATTTCATGAAAGAATTTAAAGAGCAATTAGAGGTCTCTGGCCAAGTTTCGACTGTTTCTAATGAATTCAACTGACCTTCAAAATATCTAAAGCCCAGCTGCACACCTCTGATAAGCACTGAGACAGAATAATTGTCTCTTCTTAAGATACTCTGAGCTGTCAAGGACACCTTTAATTATCCTCAGCCTGTAAGGGTCCCTCCCCTTGGTCCTACAGTGTTTCTACTGTATGATAAGCGGTCCTTTGTTTCAAGAAATCCATTCAGCACTAGCCTCCCTGTCAGTATGTGACTCACTGCATGTAACCAGTTATGTAACATTTCTCATTTGTTTTGAACTTTCCTACTTCTAAATGCTGCATACCTCCACTCTTTGTAAACTCAGGGCAGTAGCCTTTGGGAAAGGACAGCCTACAGTGTAAAGATTAAACACTACCTTTTTATTCCCTTGATGCAGAGTCTTGCTTTCAGTTTGATTTGGAAATTTTCCTACAACCTGCTGGCTTTCTCCTCCACCCTGCATCTGGTTCACACTCAGACACCGTTCAGGGGTGACTAGAAGGAAAGACATTTAGAAACTCCAGAGAGAGTGCCAGAACCACAATGTGTCATCCATTGTCCCCATTATATCTGGGATCCACCACTGACCACAACATCAGTATGCACCTGAGGCTGTGCGTGGAAGCCTGGCAGCAGAAAATAGGAATTCTGGCCTGGTGGTGGAATCAAAGAAACGGATCTCAGTTACTTTTCTCTCATCTCTGAGACAAAACACCTGACACCCAAAATGAAGGAAGGAAAGGTTTATTTAGCTTACAGTTTTTGGAGGTTTCTGTCCACACTCGGCCTGTTCCAAGACAGGGTGGCATTGCTGAGGGGCAACTTTCTTGGTGGCCACAGACAACAAGGACAAAAAAGGCAAATAGGGAATTGTGCCTCCTTCGCATCCGTACACTGTATGGGGGTTACCTGCCCCCGGGAGGGTGCAGCACTCACCCCAGCAATTCCAGCACTAGACAGCAAACCAATCATAAATGCAAGACTCAGTCACCTCCATGACTTCATGAGGCTTTGGGGAGATGCCCAGACATAAACCGTAATGAAAGCTTTCATGGGAAAGCAAGAAACAGGACCAGGAAAAGTATGAGGAGATGCACAGAGGAGATGGTACATGAAGAGAAAATATGGAGAAATGAAAACTTCAGTCGCTTCAGCCTCACACCCAAACTGAAACCCACCAGTAAGCAGCAGGTGTGCGCTACAGTGGGAAGCAGTGCTTGTCTCATTACTCAGGTGCAAGAAAAGTGAGCTGAGTGTCACGGTTCCCTGAGCACTTACAGCGCTTTCTACCTGGTCTGGAACAGAGTCCCAAGTCCTTGCCCTGCTCTGGCTGTGACCTGCCTTCAGTGTGGTCTTTCCTGCCATCCCTTGTCCACCGTTTTCCAGCTGCAGTGCTGTCCTCTGTGACCCTGAGAGGTGTTTGTGCTCTGGGTCTCTGCACCTCTGCATTTGAGGCTTCCTCTGTGGAGAAGGCTCTTTCTATCCTTCAGTGGCAGTGGCACTTCCTCACTCACCTGGCTTTGCAGTCTAACTCTCTTCCTCTAATTCACTGCTGTTGTTGTGGTCAGCACATCAGAGGACTGAAAATCAGAACTGCGGAGTGGCTGTGTTACTGCTGCTTTCTTCCCTAGAGTGCCAGCACGTGGCAGGGAAAGGTGAGTCACCTTTTACTAAGTCTCAATTTCTAACTCACCAAAGCAAGACTCCACTGAGTGGGCTCTTAAACAGCTGTCACATGAACAAATGAAGAAGAGACAGGCTGCTGTCATATAATATCCTAAGGACCACACCTTTGAATATGGCACCCTCTTTCTATTTTCACCAGTGCCCTGTAATACTCCAAAGACTTCCTTTAAAATCAGTGTAGAAAATTTGAGGATACCCAGGGATATCACTCAGTAGCACAGCCTCTGCCTGGCAAGTGCGAGGTCATGAGTTTGATATATGGTACCAAAAACGAAAAAAAAAAAAGAAAAAGAAAAAAAAATTTGAGGCTCATTTTATCTTTCCAAACAGATATTTGGAGAGGTACACCTACCTCTGACCACTTCTCTTTTCCTAAATTTTCTTTCGCTAAGACATAAATGGGGCCATCCACATTGTTTTGTCCTTGGGCCATGAGCAATGTCTCTGGAGCTGGAGTGTTCTGCGTGTCTAAGATCTCTCTCCACTAGGAGAGTGGGTCATGGCCACAGTCTCACTTCCAGCTCAGAGAAACTGGGGCCACATCAAGTGTGGGGAGTCCACTTATTTGCACAGGATCTTCCTTGTCCACCAAGTTACATCGATGCCACAAAAAAAAAATATGTCAAGGAGGAAAATCACTGGAAAACAAGAGAATAAATTAGTAAATATGATCCAGGAAGATAAGAAATGCACACAGAGATAGAGAAAAAGATTCTAGGAAACAAGAGAGATGTTTAGGTGCCAGGGTTTAGCTCAGCAGCATTAAGTGCCTGCTTGGCAAACGGGAGGTGGTGAGTTCAATCCCCTATACACAAAAAAGAGAGAGAGAGAGAGAGAGAGAGAGAGAGAGAGAGAGAGAGAGAGAGAGAGAGAGAGATGCTTACTTAATGTTTTTAAAAATGCAAGCTCGATGTGTGGCCCGTGTCTGTAATCTTAGCACTTGGGGAGGCTGAGGCCACAGGAGCCCAATTTAGCAATTGAGGTCTGGCATTTAGAAATTGAAGGAGATCCCGTCTCAAAATAAAAAATAAAAAGGGCAGATGCTATACAGCTCAGGGTGAAGCCCCTGGATATCACAACCAGGGCCAGAAAACAAAACAAAGAAAAACAGCCTGAGGTTCCCTCTCCCAGCGCTCCCAACTGCCCCAGTCCAAGCTCCTTAACTTAGACTACTGAGTCCCCTGCGCAGATCCTCCAGGCCAGCGCTTTGCCCGCTAGGTTGGGTGGGGAGGTGCTTCCCAGGCCCCTGGGGAGGGGGTCCGCCCACCCTGTAGTGAGCCCCGGCCCCTCCCCAGTCTGAGTCACAGATCCACTGATTCTCTCAGCACCCTGTCGATTTAATCTTTTGTCCTCAGTGAAATTAGTGTACTTTCCTATCTTTTCTCCTTGCCTTGAAATCCGGGCTGTCCTCCTGCCTCAGCCTCTCCAGTGCTGAGATTATAGGCCTGCACGGCCACACCCTGATAGGAATGTGTTTCCAAGCATCCTTCACTTTCAGTACCTGGCACAACAGCAGGCACAGCCCAGGTCTGTGGAGGTGAAAGTGGGGCACGCACGGAACAGGGACCTGCAAAGCCCTCTGTCCCGCACTAACCGAGTCACCCTAGCATCCCCCCAGCAGTCCAGCATTCCAGTTTCATTCCAGTGTTAGCACTTTGCGATAAATAAGTGGGTTTGGAATTACGGTTTGAGTGCTTGATCTCTGAAACCATCAGTGACCTAGGTTTGGAGACAGACAGACACACATACACACACACACACACACACACACACACACACACGTGGATTATGGCCAAAAGTGGGCGTTGAAAGAGAAGGGTGGGTTGGGGTGGGGCGGGGCTGCCTCAAGACACTATTTAAAGCCAGGCAGCCCAATGCTGCAGGCAAGTAAACTGAGGAACCATAGTTCACACAGTGGGTCGCGTCCTTGCACTGTCTTGTAGATGCCATGTCCGGGAAGCCAGGTAAACTGAGGCAGACTGGAAAGCTGGGGCTGAGGGGCTGGTGGTGGGAAAACCCCAGATGAGAAGTCGGTACTTAGTGGCTGTTCCCCAGCTCAGGGAGTGTTTCCCCAGGGGCTGAGTAGAATAATGTTTGCTGCCCTTTATACAGTAAGGGTTGATATCTTAGATTTGTTGCAGATACCTGCTTCCAGGTTTGTGTTTATTTCCGTATGAATTGACTTGTCTAGGTATTTTAAAGGTCGAAGTTGTCGTACTAACCAATATTACTTATCATGGTATTTACAAAATTTGGTGTAGGGGCTGGGGATTTAGCTCAGTGGCATAAGTGCCTGCCTTGCAAGCAGGCGGTCGTGAGTTTGATCCCCGGTACCAATAAAAATAAAAATAAAAAAATAAAAAAACCTATAATTCATAAATCTTACTAAAGGACATCCATGAACCCATTGAAATAGTGTAATATAAAAAAAATTGGTGTAACATGTATTTTTGTCTGGGAGATTTTTTTTTTTTTTTAGTCAGGATCTCACTGTGTAGATAGGCTGGCCCTAAACTTGCTTCTGTAGCCCAGGCTGACCTGGAACTCACAGTGATCCTTCTGCCTCAGCTTCCTGGATGTTGAAATTATAAGCATGGGCTACCACACCATTAAAAATTTTTATTTTTTTGAGGGTTTTCTTGTTCCTTGATTTGGCTTGGTTTTGGGTTTTTTTGTTTTGTTTTGGTATTTTGGCTTTGGGGGGGGTTGCAGGGGGAGGGGTGTTTTCATTTTGTTTTTTATTCTTGTTTTTTGGTACCAGGATGGGACTCACAACCTCATGCTTGCCAGGCAAGAGCTTACCCTGCTGAGCTAAATCCCCAGCCCCTATGGGGAGAGGGTCTTACCCTGTAGTCCAAACTGGTCTTGAATTCACTGTTGTAGCCCAGGCAGGCTGGGATTACAGGTGTGCACCACCGTCCCCAGATTTGCAGTACTTTTGCTAACATCATTTCCAACTCTTCTTTTTTTTATCCGTACTGGGGATTGAACTCACGACCACCTGCTTGCAAGGCAGGTGCTTATCCCGCTGAGCTAAATCCCCAGGCCCTTTTCCTTTTTTTTTTTTTTTTTTTAACTTTTTTTTTTTTTATCGGTACCGGGATCGAACTCACGACCGCCTGCTTGCAAGGCAGGTGCTTATGCCGCTGAGCTAAATCCCCAGCCCCCTCTTTTCCTTTTTTTAATAGAAATTACTTTTTAAACTGCTGCTACCATCCTTTTCCTCCTCAGTGTCCTTTTTCTGCCTCAATTTTTATTTTTCTGTATATATATCTCTGTCTCTGTCTACCTTTACCACCATGTTTCAAGATTTTCACCAATGCCCTGTAAAGTTTTGCCCTCTTCCTTTAGAAAGGAATGGAAAATTTTTTATTTAAATCTATGGGGCCGGGGATTTAGCTCAGCAGCACAGTGCCTGCCTTGCAAGCGTGAGGTTGTGAATTCAATTCCTGGTACCAAAAAAGAAAAAAAAAGTAAAAACTCTGTATATTAGATTATTTGTGTTCACTAAAGGAGAATTCAGCAGTATATTGCCAGTGTGACTGGGGTGTGTGTGTGTGTGTATGTGTGTATGAAGGAAATAAAATCGTCCATACAACGTGAATTACCATAACATTAGGTATTACCAGATGACAAGGTCTTGGATGTTTGAAACCATAGTATAAGCTCCCATTCTGTACACATACTGTTATTTAGACATGCTTCTTTGGAAACGCACATCTTTCTAAAGGGTGTGAGTTATCTGGGACCATTTTACTGTAGAGAAACAGAAGCAAAATATGAGTGCAGCAGGTCCCTAAGTCATGAAGCCAGGAGAGGACAGAATCAACATGCGCTCTGAGGTCACTTAAGTTCTAGCTGCTTTCCACACAGACCCCACTAATAAACGACCAAATCAGTGGCGAGGTCTTTAGGGTCTGAAAGCACTCTGAGCCTCAACGCTTAGTGTACCAGCATCTCAAGTACTGGATGAGCCCTGTGAACCCAGTCTAGTGTTACTCTCACGCCAGTACTGTATTCTCTCCCACTGAGGAACTCCTTATCTGGAGGTGGGGAGGAATGGGGTTCCACGGCTGACCTTTTTAGGCCAAGCCCTGGAACGCAGGTTGGGCCAAGCATGAAATTCACATTTGGGTATTACTTTAACACATGCTTTTGCTCTTTCCATCTGGATATTGCATTTATACAAGTCTTTGTTCTCTCTGCAGAAAAGATAGAATATACTCGCAGGCCAAGAACCTCATTTACCCCGTTCCAACGCTCAGTTCTGCTGAGTGCCTTTGAGAAGAACAATCTTCCAGCACGAGATGTTATACAAGAATTAGCTGTGAAACTGAATTTAGATGAAACGGTGATAAAGGTAGGTTCCTGAGTGTGACTCTAGGTGGTACACCTGACCTAGAAAGCCACACACTTACAACCACCAGCATACCAGTCCCATGCATTGCCAGGTGCAGTGCACCTGTACAGAGGTGAAATATGGCAGATTTTCCCTTCACCCATGGTCACTTTTTGAGGCAGACTGAGGCTCACCTAAAAGACTTGTCTTCTAGTATAATTAGTGCAAGAGTCAGATTTGAAGCCTAATCCACAGAACTGCATAAGACCCTTTGAGTCTGGATCTGAGATCCTGCTTTTTTTTTTTTTTTTTTTTTTTGGCTTTGTTCCCATATTAGCAGCCCACTCTTGTAATCAGCCTAGTGCTGCAAGACCTAACCCACTTCTTGGAGCTGGGTGTTAATCCCACCCAAAGGCCAAGTTCTGAGAACAAATTACTTCTCTCCAGGCTCCACCTCTTAAAGTGTACCTCCTCTCCATGCCATTCCATAGAAGACAAACACTCACCCTGTGAGGCTTTATCCAAACACAGCAGGTAGATGTCTAGATACTGCTCAGTCAGAACATTCAAAATCATTCTGATGTCTTCCTATCCTTTGTCAAGGTAGTGAGGGCAAAATCCCTTCATGGAGCTGAGGCAACCCAAGCTACATTCCCATCCCTTGCTCTCAGGCCTTGCAATGTTTTCTTGGAACCCTTTGAGCAACCACACCCAGCCCCCTTTATTTAACCTTTCTTGATTTAGAGCTTGAGTGCCCCTTCTTCCTCTACCCACTGCCAGTAAAACCCAATCCCCACTTTACCTTCTGGGACCCAGAGCAGCACAGGATACAAAGAACTTCCCCTGTTCAGATCAGTCTAAAGCAATTGAAGATCACCTTTTTGACCCAAAAACCTCACACCCTAAGTAATGTGAAAATAAAACTTTGGATTCATTCTCATTTATTGACCTGCTTCTCTCTTCTCTGTAGAACTGGTTTAAGAACCAGCGTATGAAATGGAAGAAAAATGTGCTAAAAGTGAAGCCAGCTTCATTGCCCGGAACATCCAAACAACCCTCTTCTGAAAGCGAGGAGGAGGCCCCACAAAGTCCTGTTACAAGTACTTCAACGATTTCTGCGACTTCCAGTGACCATATCTATGACCCACCAGAGCCCTTCGAGAGTGAGTTCACCAGAAGAGATGGAGCCTCTGCGTTTGGTTCATCATTCAACACTCAATCTGATGATCTTCAGGGACAATGTGTGGAGGATTTTAGCACTTATGGCACAGATAAACTTGTAGAACTGTATTATCTTTCTGGGGAAGATGATCCCAGCAGTCTGGATATATACCTCCCCCCAGGCTGCCTGCAGTGAAGCGGTGAGCATGGCGCTGATGGGCAGGGTGACTCTTGACCCAAGCCCACATTTTCAGGGACAGCTACCAACTGATTTCCATTTTTGCAGCAGAGCTTTGAGGACTTGTCATTTCATAGAAGGAAATAAAATAGCCATCTCACTGTCACTGTTGCCTGTTTTCTATTTGTTTTGAATTCCCCCTCCAATAATTTCAGTATCCTGTACACTCCTCAAGGGAAGGAAATCAGCAGCATGGGGAAATTTAGATTTCTGATTCTCCCTCACTCTAAGTGCACTGAACAACACATGTGTGGGTTCTCTCTAGATAACATCACAAATAGTTCTAGAGGGGTCCGTGCTGAGAAAGGTACATCAGCTGAGAAAATAATCATGTGGAACAGGTGGGAAAAGCCTGGGCTCACACTGGAACCAATCCACCCTCAGTGTATTGCCATACAGCTTCTAAGGAAACCCCAGCCCCCTAGCTCTAGAGAGAGAGAAATACGTGCTGCACCCACCTCCCGGTTTTACCTGGTTTCATCCTTCAACTTCCTATCTCCAACAGTGGAAGAGATGAGGCCCATGTGAATCTGCCTGCACCATAGAAGAAAATGGATTTTAAATGGGTGCTCGAACACTTGCAGGGCTCCTGTCTACAAGGATCAGGTATAGAAGTATCTGAAATTCAAACCTCCCAGTTTCTCTGCAGAAGGGGTTTGCCGGTGTACTTCCCATTGCTCTACACAGTCGCTTTCCTCCCTAGACTGATCAGCAGTTAAGTGAGCGGGCACCCTGGTGATGGTAGAGAGCCTAGACAGAACTCTGACACTTCTGCAAGCTCCCCCACTGGATCCACTCTGTTTTTAAAAAATGAGTCCAAGCAAGGCATAGCGGCGCACTCCTGTAATCCTAGCACTTGGGAGGCTGAGGCAGAGGGATACTTGCAAATTCAAGACCAGCCTAGGCTACAAAGTGAGCTCAAGGCCAGCCTGAACTGCCCAGGGATAAAAAAAAAAAATGGTGTCCACGGTCTGTCCAGGCTCTTAGTGCCCCTTCTTCTGCATCTCTATCCCCACTCTTGGAGCAGTAGGGAATAGGGGTGTGTGAGTCTCTAGACCACAGAGCCAGTTGTTGCTTATAAATGGGACCCAAGCATTGCTATTGCCAATCAGGTGAGGGTTCTTTTGCTCAATTCCTATGGAAACCACAAATCAGCAGAGTCAGCTCTGCTAGCCACTCCAGGGATTGAACGCCAGTGGCTCCCAGCTTTTGGTGTCCACCTCTAGGCCAAGACACCACTGGCTGCTTCAAGTTGACACTTTGAGTGACTGACTCTATCAGTAATCTTTGGCTGCAGGTCTCTGGAGCTCGTCACACTCCAAGACCCCAGTGTCTGTTGCTTATTTTAAAACAACCACTTGGTTACTCAATACCAGAATCACAAGTAGATTTACAGAACCTTCCAAAGCGTAGCTTTTACCACAATTCTAGAGAAATCAAAGATAAGCAGATTTATGGGCTCATCAGACTGAGGCTTTATTTGAACAGGAGCCAGGCTGTAGCATAAAGTGTCAATAGCCCAACAGGGAGCCCTCCTATACCATTGAGAAACTGCAAAGAGAATGCTGCCCAGGTAGTGTCAGAAGGCTTGTGATTGGTACAAAGCCAAGCCTGCTGATTGCTCTGAATTTGAGCCTGTGATTGGTCCAATTTTGAACCCGCTCATTGATGCAAACTCAACCCTGATGATTGGTCAAAATTCAGTTCTCCTAGTACTTAATTCAAATGCAGAGCTTCAGGGTGCGTGCAGGTCATCCAGGAGACTCACAGCTATCATTGGGGCGGTTCCTTGGAATATTGGGAGATGCAGTCACTTGATCAATAGTGGTCAAGTGTCTGAAAAGAATGATAACTAAAGCCAGAAACTCTTTAGGAGAACTGGCTGTGGTCATCAAGTTTACCGAGACGGCAGTGTAACTGACAGCCTAAACCCCTGTCTGACCTCTTTGATGTTAAGTCTGGTTTCTTGGCAGTGGCCTCTGGCGCAGCAGAGGCAGGGTAGGGCCGGGGGCACCGGGGCTGACAGCTAAGCTATGCCTCCTATGGAAGTAGCTTGGGTAATGACCATGCAAAAGGATGTGAGGAAAAGAGGCATAAAACTTTTGGACCTAATCACACCCTCTTCTTGCCCTCATGGGGAAAAGAGGAGATGGGGGTGATTCTCACTGGTCTCACTCCTAGGGGTCTACAAAACCCTCCCCCGAGTAGTGCAGAAAGGAGGTTAAAACACAGCTGCCAGTTCCCCTTCAGATGGTGTTTGCCATCCTCTTCCTCGATGCTCCATGCTCATGCCTCTAACTAAACTGCATCTGGGAGCTCACACAGCAAACAATGGCCCTTTGGACGCCCGAATGAGAGTTCACACACAGATAGAACCACTGGATTAACCTGAACTCATTTAAAATATGGTCATTTAAAACATGTTTAAACAAATCTTAACTCTTTAAAACTTTGTATTAGTGCACATTAGCATTTCATGATGATGGGCTTATTCAGAGTTACTATAAAGAGAAACAGCAGTATATCACGGTCCAGATTTGTAGGACTGAAGTTTCTTACACATTCAGTCAAGATGAATGGAGAGCTGACTCTGGCAGACTCTGTGCAGGACATAGAGATTCAAGACTCAAGACGTACTTGTGAAATAGGAAGGAAATGTTCAAATGGGGAGGGAAACAAAACAAGGGAGGAAAAGGGAAAAATAGAAAAAAAGAAAAGAAGGAAAAACAGAAACAAAGCTTTTGTAAATGAGGAGAGAAGGAGGGACTAAAAAGAAGGAATAAAAAAAAGAATGAAGACATATCGTGTTCAGGTACAAATTCTCTATGATGAATGTGATCACAGTGTAGATCTAAAATGCTCCAATAAAACCTAATATGAAAAAGAAGAAAAACTATAAAAATAAAAATCAAAAGTAAGTCTCTGGGCATTGGATCCTGCGGGGGGAAGGGGGAGGCTGAGCAAAAGAGACTGAGTGACACAAGCGGCAGCACCTCCCTGCAAGAGAAAAGGAAACAAAAATTAGAGTGAACAACTGTCTGGAATAATCCCAAAAGGTAGTCTGTAAATACAAGTGTGCCCATTGGGTTCTGAAGTATGGTTATAAGTTTTCTGAGTGGCTAATGTGGATGCAGGCCAGAATTAGAAAGGACTGAACACTTGTTTGGCAGCACACTGTGTTTCTCATACACTTTCCCACTTTGTAGGTAACAGTAAACGTCAAGTCCTCATGCTTTGCCCAAGCAATCCTGACAGATTTGGTCAAGACAGTTCAAGTGTGGAGAGGCATCTTCCTGACCTCAGTGCGAATCTGTGAGAAATAGTGAGCAGACTCCGCATTGTCAAGGAGGACCTTCTACATAGGTAGGAGTCCCAGGGCACCTGATGAATCCCAAATCATACCTTGGCTGCATTTGTTCATTAACATTTTATGCAACTTAACAGGATTTGGCTGTTCTTTTACAGGGAAAGAAAAATAATGGTCATCACCACCAGGGTGTGGGAGCTCCCTGTGAGGGATGAGGAACCCAAATGGATGCATCTGAGCTGGGGTACAGCTCAGGAGTGGAGTATTGGTCTAACATCCTTGAGGCCCTGCGTTCCCATCCCAGCACTGTAAAAATAAAGAACGTTAAAGAAGAGGAGAAATATTTTATGACAGACACAAGGAACCGGTGATCAGCCCACGGAAAAGTCTGAGAAGCCAGGAGCAACATTGTAGTACAATCATTGCATGCCAGACACTATGAACCAAAACCGTACCCACTTTGAGTGACCAAACTGGAATCTCAGGCAGTTGTCTGTAGTCATAGATCTACAATTGGTGACTTTGAGGAGAAACTTTGTGATTTGAGGAAAACAGATGAAATTTCTGCATTTCTTCATTCAAAGGAGGTTCACTGCATATCAGCACTGCCAGGCCTTGTGCACAGTACACTGGAGACCCTGAAGAAAGACTGTGACAAAATTAGCACCTGAAACTATCACCTCAATCCGTAGTCAGAGAACAACAGAAGTTAGGTGACTGCCTCAAAGATTCCCCTCCACTTGTTTTTCTTGTTTCAAAGAATTAAAACATTTTACCCATTTATGGACAGAAACCTGGACCTTATATTTAATCGTGAGTTGGCATGAGTTTAGGTCACTGAACATGTAAGTTATCATTAGAATTAGTACAATGGGGGCTGGGGATTTAGCTCAGCGGCATAAGCACCTGCCTTGCAAGCAGGCGGTCGTGAGTTCGATCCCTGGTACCGATAAAAAGTTAAAAAAAAAAAAAGAGAATTAGTACAATGTATCCACATGGATGCAGAGACCAGATGCTGGTTTTGCAGTTGCTTCCCCAGCAGCGTAACAAACCTCCACAAAACATACTGGTTTAAGACAATCACTTATCGTTATCTCTCCTGGTTGCCCGGTTTTACTGGACTCACACGTGGTGCATCATCTGCTTTCAATCAGATTATGGGGGAAAGTTGAGTCTTCTAAAACATCTGTGGAGCTGGGTGTCTAAATGACGCTTTAGGATACCGAAACCATCACATGAGGTGGCCGAAACTCCTGAGGGCTGGCTGGTTATCGCACACTCTGCATGACACCCACAGATATCTTGACTTTCTCAATCATGAGCTGGTCTTATTCTAACTGGCTTCCACCAAAGTGAGCCTGCCAAAGAGCTAAGCAGAAGGTACAAGGCATCAGGGACCCAATTCTGGAATGTGACCTCACTGTGGCCACAGTCTATTTTTCAACCTGAGCCACACACAACCCGAATCAGGAAGAGGGGACTACACCAGGCCCGGCTATTTTGTCTTGTTGAACGCTTCCTTGGTGACTGGCTAGTCCTCCATCCTCCAGTGCCAGTGACATATATATTCCCTGTTCAACAAAGCACAAACTCCTTCTAGACAACTACCAGATTTAATCCAGTTATTGCTAAAAGGCTTAAAATTGACGTA